GGACCCCCGGCCCCCCCCCGCCTGTTCCGCCACCCGCCCCCTCCTGTGCCAGAGCTGGGGCCTGGAGGCCCAGCTGGCAGCCGGCGTCCGCTTCCTGGATGTGCGCTGCAAGCTGGCGCAGGGCGAGCTCCACATCTACCACCTCTGTACCTTCCAGCGGGCCAGCCTGCGGGGGGTCCTGCGCCGCACCCTGCGCTTCCTCCGCGCCCACCCTGGTGAGGCTGTGCTCATGCGCATCAAGGAGGAGCTACCCATCTTCCCCCGGCCTGGCTTCGCCGCCCGGCTACACCGCTGCTTGCTGGAGGAGGGACAGGGCCGTGTGTGGTGCCGGGAGGAGGTGCCAACGCTGGGCCAGGTGCGGGGGAAGATTGTGGTGCTGGAGGCACTGGCGCGGGAGGTGCTGGGCATCCCCTACGAGCAGCTGAGCATCAGCGACGCCTGGAATGTGCTCTCACTGGAGCGCAAGTGGGCCCGGGCAAGGCGGCACCTGGAGAGGGCGGCTGGTGGGGACCCCACCACCATGCACCTCACCTTCTGCTCCGGCAACGGGCTCTTCACCTGCCCCGAGGAGGTGGCCCGCTTTGTGAACCCCCGCTGCTACCAGCACCTGCGGCGCCGTGGGGGACAGCCTGTGCGCTGGGGGGTGGTCATCATGGACTTCCCTGGGGCAGGGCTCCTCCGGCTCATCGTGGAGAGCAATGCGCCATGGGCCAGTGGACACATCACAGCAGCCCCCAGCACTCCCACAGTACCCTTGCGGCAGCCCCACAGCAGAGGGGACAGGCGCCGCAGCCGGCCCAGCTCCACTCCCTGCCCCCGCCCACAGCAGAGGGGACAGGCGCCGCAGCCGGCACAGTTCCACTCACTGCCCGCGCCGGTGTCCATCAGGACGGATGCTGCTCCCAGCCCCACGCCTCTGCCGAAGGACGTCAGCACCCGTAGAGCAAAAGCGGATTTCTAGCTCTTGCTGGGCACCAGGAAGCCTTCATGTGACGATGGTGTGACAGCGCCGGAGGTGGCAGAGGAGGGTTGGCAGCTGCAGTCAGAGCCGGGCAGCCCCGAGAGCTGCCCCCTGCATGCTGCTCTCCCCCAGGGAGCCAGGTACTGTCCCGGCATGGGGCTGGGCCAGCCAAGTCCCTGGCGGAGCAGCAGGGATGGGGTGGAGGGAGAAAGTCCCGCCTCACCTCCTCTCGGGCCAGTGAGTCCACCTGAAATGCCTCTCTGCAAAACAGTCCTTTTCCTTTCAAGGGTAAATAAAAATAAAAAGAAGCTAGGAAAGTATTCACTGCGTTGCCTTGCCTTCTGCCGAGCAGAAAAAACCTCTTGCTTTTGCTGCTCAGCTGTGAAAGAGCCTGTACCCCTCCGCCCATTGCCGAAGCAGTCATATTGGTGTTTGTAGCCATCTTGCTCTTAAAGCAGAGCTGCAAGAGGTCAGAGGAGGAATTAATTTCAAAGGTGACAACAAATTGTTAGTAATGTCCTTCCCCTCGTTATTTTAGCTTTTGTTTTTTTCTTGCAGGGGCTTGCCCCAAAAGTCAGGACTGTTAGAGAGACGCAGCTTCAGCAGGCACCGCCAACCCTGCACACGGAGATCTGGATGGCCACAGCAGCGGCATTTCAGATGGGGCTACCCTGTCCCTGGGGTCACGCACCCGCAGGACACCGCACAGGGCAAAGCTCGGCGGTTTGCAACAGTGTGGGCAGCGTGGATAGGGCAGCTTGTAGATCCACAAAAGCAAAGTGGTTGAGACGTAAAAAAGACCTTAAAACACACATTGTGCCAGTGTCTGCCCTACCTGCAGAAAATAAATCAGCAATGTAAATAGACTGGCAAGTCACAGGACAGAGTAGCTCCTTGGAGCAGAAAGATAACCGAGATCCCAGGGGAGAAAGCATCAAACAGCTGGCTGTGCTGAAGTGGGGAGGTGAGAAAGGGAAGAGGAAAGCTCAGGCCCGGCCTGCCAAAAGGTGAAGAACGTCCTCAAGGATGCTTCTGTCCCAGGGGAAAACGCAGCTGGGCTCAGTGCCTGCCGGAGGGGATGCCGCAGGATTTCCTGGAGGGAGGAGAGGACATTGTTTTCTCCACGGGGGCTGACCCCGGCTGGAGACATGGCTCTCAGTGCTGAATATGTTCATCTGCTGGCCCCAGGTGGGCTGTGGCGGCTCTGCTTGGGGAGCAGCGGAGGACTGAGCTCATGTTGCAAAGAGCCAGATGGGAGGGGAGCAGGCAATAGGCCTCAGGGGGTGACGGAGGTGACGGCTGGGGGAATCCACCTCTGGCCTTGCTTTGTGAGACAGGATAAGACTGATCTCTCTGCATTAAACCAGACATGTGACAAAAGCACTGGTGATGTCCGGGGTGCTGGTGGCCTGCTCCATCTGCCAACGCCTCCACCGCCTGGGGCTGTTGCCCCCATGCTGAGCCAGCCTGACGGCTCTAAGTATTGCCCTCACACTGGGAAGATGGGTGCCACAGAAGGATGGCCAAGCAGGTCAGTGGCCCCAGCCCTCCAGGGATGCACAGTGCCATGGGGAGCTGGGCAGGGCGCAGGCTGAGCAGTCGCAGTTCCCTGGAGTGGCTCTGTGGGCTGGGTGGCTTTGCTCTCACTTAGGGCAAGGGCTGCCTGCACAGCTGCAGGGCTGCCTCTGGATGCGGCACATCCCCGGAGCTGCACTCCAGCACCCCGTACGAACCCTGTGCCCCAGCTCACTGGCAGGGCAGGGGCGCTGCCTGGGATTCCCCAGATGGGCAGAGCCACTTGTTTACTCCCTACCACACAAGCAGTGAGATAACTTTGGCGTTATCTACGCCCCCGGCATCCTGTTTGGCGAACCTTTATCTGTGCCACACACGTGTTGCTGCTGCCAGGCGCCAGGAAGCCAGCAGGCAGCGCGGGCAGGGGTACCCGGCTGGCAGCGGTGCTCAGCAAAAAGGCTCTCCATCACTGGCGAGGCAGAAAGCTGTCCTGCAGCTGAGATCAAAGAAACATCTCTGAGAGGGACCCTGCGGGGTGGGCAGGAGTGATTTGCCCAAAACTAACCCTGCAGCCCGCAGCTGGGGCTGCCCCAGCACCGCGGGGTCCCTGCGGGTGGGGGAGTGCAGGGTGCCACGGCCTGTGAGCTGTCTTGGAAGCATCCCTGTCCTTCTGGCCCCAGCTAATCCTTGCAACCATCTCACCCTCTCCAAGCCAGGGCGCACTCAGATAACATGTCTTCTTGTGGCCAAACACTTCCAAATTGTGAGAAAGATTTTATCGGGTGCTGCTTTCCTCCAGGGCCGTCAGAGGAGGGTCCTGCTGCCCGGGTTGCAGGCCAGGCATCGTGCTGGGAGACGTGCCCAAAGGCACCCTGCAGCTCAGGGACACCCTTTCAGTCAAACACCCCCTGGCATCCTGCGGTGGGAGGGGAGCCGTCCCCTGCCCACACTCAGGAGGTGCCTCCAAAGCCTCCGCTTGACACGGCCATTGCAGTACCTGGGGAGAGCCACCCCGCTCCCCAGGTGGAGCAGGGGGATGGCGGGAGTGGGGCTGCACCTCAGCACAGTGTGGGTCCTCACAGGCACCATGCCATGCTCCTGCAGGGGTGCTACCGGGTGCCTCCTCGCTCTGGTGGGCTGCTGAGAGGGCGAGGAGGGCTCCCCAGGAAGGTGCCCGCTGTATCGCCGGTGGCAGCTGAGCCGGGTGGGCTGTGTCAGGGTGACTCGGTTCCTCTGCGGTTTGCTGGGGGACATTGCACAAGGAAGAGAACAGGCTGTGCTGCCATGGGGTGGGAAGCCTCTGCCAAAAACAACGCAAGTGTGCCTCTGCACTGGGGGGGGAGGGGGTGCAGCGTGGTGGTGATGGGTGTGCCCCTCGCACCTGCTGCCCCCAGGGTCTCACTCTACCAGGTCCTGAGCACTCCCTTGGGGACACAGTGCAGGGCACAGCCTAGTCTTGGCCCTGGGGCAATGGTAATTCTGCAGAGGCTAATCCCTGGGGCATCTGCCCACCTCTGCCAGTGCCCACCTCCCCATGCAGCATGTACAGCCCCTGCCACCGTGGGTCCCATCCACACCTGGGTGCTTCCAGAGCCATCAGCATACTCATGCAGGCATCGCAACCTGCCCTGCGCGTGGCACCCTGCCCGCAGCACGGCCGAGCACGCAGAGAGGGAGCAGAGCATCAGCCTGGGCTGGCAAAGGGCCGAGCGCTTCCCCCTGGACAGCCCTGCAATTGCAGCCTGCAGGTGGGTTGCTCAACCCCGCCAGCTGCACAGCACCCTTGGCAGTGGTTTGGAGGTGGGAGTTGGGCACCCATGCCCCTTCCCCGCAGCAGGGCTCTCGGGAGAGAGCATCGCCTCTGTCTGTGGCTCAGGACTAGGGCACAGCAAAGGAGGCACATTTCCATTCCAGATCCCTGCAGGGCCCAGCAGGACGGTGAGGAGATGACATGGGAAAGTGCCTTTGTACCTGCTCCCTCGAGCCACTCCTGAGCGAAGCCCTGGCTTGCAGCTTGCGCTGTGTCCCAGGAGCAGTGGCGGGGGGGACAGGATGCACCAGCCTGCTGCCTGGGAAATCCCTGCACTGCTCAGCCTGTAAGGCAGGGATGGGCCCTTCCTTGGTAAGGGGGGCAGCAGGACCCCAGCTGGGAGCATGTGCCCTGCAGCATCCTGAATCCTTCCCAGGGAGCCTGCCTTGGAAACCACCTGAGATGTGAAAGGGCTCCTGGCGATTAGCCAGCTCCCAGCAGAGCTGCAGAGCTGATTCGGGTCTTCTTCTCACCACATGTACCTTTTTCCACTACCTGCAAAGCAACCCTTGGTACTGGTCCTGCCATGCAGGACCCCCTCTCTGACTCCAGCTACCCACAGGCAGGGGGTTCCTGCCCCCCACAAACAACTTTGAACTTGGCCACGTTCTGCCCTTTGCAGCAGCCACCTTGCTTCTGTTTTTAAAACAATACCAGAAACTATTTTTAGTTACAAAAATAAAGGTGGGAGTATATTTTTTCTACTGCTCTGCCCTACCGTGTCAGGTTTCAGTGAAACTGAAGTGAAACTGGCAGGGGCACAGCCTGCTCCCCCCTGGGGCTGTGCACCCGTGAGCACCCCTCTGACTCCCAGCGAGTCTCCCACTCACCTCTCTGCCCACCCAGCTGCTTCTTCCCTTGCCGTAATTGCACACCCTCTGAACATGAGCTGCTAGAAAGCAAGCGCTCCTCAATTACTGGACATACAGGCTCATCCTCAGCAATTCCATAAAAATAGACAATTGCAGTAAAACATTTTGCAAGGAAGATATCCAGAGACAGGAACTGAGTTTCATTTACATTGGCCAAGTATAAAGTCATTGTAGTGGGTTACGACTTTTGTGGGATGGGTTCCTCCTTTTGTCTAGCATGAGTCCCGCTGGAGCAGCATCAATTTCTCTGGAACTGGAAAATGCATGTGACCTGCATGGCTCTCACTTCAGCTTTACCTGGAAGTGAGCAGAGCAATTCCTGCAGAAAACCCTGCCAAGGCAATTTTACTTAGAAGCAGAATGGAGTAAGGAAAGATTTATGATGATTCAAGAATGATCGAAGGGGAGGTGGACACAATGAGGCATGTTCCTGAAGCATTGCTGGAAGTTCATAAAGGATATTAACAACTCAGGGGAAGTTCCTCTGGCATGTTCTTGGACCTTTCTCATAAAGGCTTAAAGGCAAAGACAGGAAAATACATTGTGTAAGTAACTGTTTATAAACGGTATATGAAGATTCACAACCAGAGCAAAAAGCCTGTGAGCAAGGAGAGGATCCGGCACAGGAGCCGGGAGGCTGTGAGCCACGCTCCAGCTCAGCCCATGCAGGAGCTCATCACTCCTCATCCCTCCTCTGTCCTCTGACAGCCAGCGTGGGCACTGCGACATGGACATGGTGGGTTGGAGAGGTCTCGGTGCCCTGGGCACCATAGGCTGGGGCTGGACCCCTCCTGGGGGGCCCTTCTGCACCTCCTGGGGGGCCCAGGCAAGGCCAGCTTATTGCGGGTTGGCTCCCATGGCAGCGTCGGGATGCACCCAGCTCCCATGCCATGGAGCAGCTGCCAAGCTGAGTCCCACCAGGGCTGTGGCCAGGGCTGAACCCCGCTGTTCCGCTCTGGCCCCAGGCTGGGAGCGGGATCTTTGGGGGTGGTAGAGCCCCACAGCGGGGGAGGCGGGGATGCAGGGCAGGATGCGGGCTGGCAGCAGGGCTGGGGCGGGAGGGGAAGAGGCCAAGGGCAGGGAGCAATACTCTGCGCGCTTGGAGGAAGTGTGAGCACCGCTGCCCGTCGAGGGCCAGACGCGCCTGGCGGTGCCAACAGCTGGGCAAGGTGTGTCTGCGGCTCCAACATGGTAGGTTCTGCTCCTTTCCTTGGGGATGAGTTGGGGTCTGCCTAGAAAAGGGGCATAGGGGAGGGCAGGGCTGCAGGCAGGTGCTGCCAGGAACCGGTGCCGCTGCCGGGGACCCATGGGACAGACCCAGGCTGCCCTGGAGAGACCCTGCCCTGGGCAGCGAGGCTGTGCCAGGCACCCAGGGCACTGCCACTGCGGAGGCAGATACCAGCGCTGGGTGGGTGGGGCGGGGGGGGGGGCACAGGGCATGCCCTGGAGTGAACTGCACTGCTGGCATGGCCTCCCCCACTGCTCAGGTGTGCTGCGGGCACAGCCCCCCCAAAGTGTGTCGCTGGAGGGGCCCTTTCTGCAGCAGAGCCATACCTGGCCGGCAGCACTGCATGTGTCTGCGTGCAAGCTAGCGCAAGCAACATGCCCTTGTGGCTACCAGGACCACCTGGCAGCGGTGTGGGTGCACGGTGGGGTGCGTGAGCTCCTGTGGGACGTGCATGCTCACACCTCCCTCCCTGGCATGCAGGGCACTGCGGCAGGACTGCGGTCTGCTGGGAGGACATGGGCTCTGGGCTCTCGTGGCATCTGCTACCTGGGCATCGCTGCCATCGCATGGGGTAAGCCACCTGCCACCCACTCAGTAAGCACAGCGTGACCCTGTTGCTGAGGAGCCTGCAGGTCTGGGAAACTGGAGAAGGGCAGCAATGTTATTTTGGGGGCTCATCAGTCACACCCCTCATGGCTACCAGACCCAGGGCTGGATCCTTCTGGGATGGGAGGGGGTTGCGTCTGCCCAGGCCAGCTCCCTCCAGCCAGACCCATCGCAGGACCGTGCTCCCCCAGGGAGGGCCAGGCCACACACAGGGTCCCCACAGGGTGTCTGGTTCCCCAAATGCAGCATGGCAGCCGGTGTATTGTACCGTGAACTGGAGAAAGGCAGCAGCAGCTCTACTCCCTGCCTATGCCCATGCCCATGCTGCAGAGCTGGGCACAGACGTAGCCACAGGACCCACAGGTGCAAGTGTTGGGAGCACAGCTGGGGCAGCACCATGCAGAGTTAAAGCTGCTAATTGACATCAGGAGAAGAAATCAGAGTAGAAACTAATTTGGTTTTGCTGCCTGTAGGATATTTCCTTCACATGTTGGCATTGCACAGAGCAAAACCTGCCGTTGCCTGCTCTGTCCCTAGAGATCCTCCATGAGCTGGGTTCTTTTCCAAAGGACCTTTCATGATTGAGCTAAGGAACAGAGGCAAATGCAGAAGTGTCAGGAGGAGGCTGAGATTTAGCTCTGAGGGGAAAACAAAAATGCAAAGGCACCCTGAGTGCAGTGGGCGCTGAGCACCGCCCTGGGGGGAGGCATCGGGGCTGCTAGGGGAGCCGAGAGGTTGAAACACAGGCAAACAGCACCCCCCTGGGGGTTCAGCTCCAGGTGGGGGAGGGAGAGGTAACATAAGGCTGAGGTGAAGGAGTGGGGATGAGCTGTGCTACAGAAAAGGGTGTTACTGGTAGAGCTGGAGGAAATAGGCAGGACAGCATGTGGAGGATGGGCACGTAGCAGATGGGGTCCCTTGGTCCTTCTCAGTTTGGGGATGGGGTATGCAAGGGTAGCAGGGCGGCTGCCCTGAGCCATGCTGGGGAGGTAGTGAGGGACAGGAGGTGGGTGGTGGGAGCTGAGGATGGGGCAGGCTCCCAGGAGGTGCCTTGAGCTTCTGTCCTGCAGCCCCAAACTCCCAAGGGGTGAAGAGGAGGGTTGTTGTTGAAGGCCACATTTTCCTCAGCTTCAGTTTTGTTGAACAAAATGGATAATTTGCTCTTTCACATGGAAAAACAGGCAAATTATGGGAATTTTGCTTAGAAAAATGTATAATTATTGACCAAACTAGAGCCCTAATTAGACTTGGGAAGCCCTAGATTTGCATCTAATCTGTGATGCCCAGACCTTTGCCTGCATGACCACAGTGTGATATGCTCTCCTGAGACACAGGGTACCCCAGGCTGGTTGCCTGGAGAAAACTTTGATCCCCATCTCACTTTTCTGCACAGATGGAGATACGATCCCCGTATCACTTTCTGCAGTTGTGGAGATACCTGCTTCTGGGGAGAAAGGAGGAAGCTTTTTTTGTGGCTAAAACCCTTTGATTGCATCAAGTTGTGATGTGAAATGCTGTAAATAAGAGCAGGGTTTCAGCAAAGTGCCCTTCACTTCTGGGTGTGGGTTCCGGTTAATCTCTGCCTTTGCCCTGCCTGGGTGGGCACGACCAGGGTGTGAACTTGACTTTTGCAAGACGTTGTTTTGCAATACTGAATTTTACAAGACTCTTCAGACCATCTCTGGCTCGGATGAGCAGCTCGGGAGCCAAATGCTTTTGTGCGCTCGTTGCTCTGCCTTGCTCCAAGCTGACTCTCATGTAGAAGTGTAAAGCAAGAAAACCAAAGTGGTACACTTCTGTGCTTGAGGAAGGAACCATGTTTAAGGAATCATCTCTATGTTGGGTTTTCCTCTTTGGGAAACCTTTGTGAGCAGGGGAGCGGGGCTGTGGGGCTGGTCTTTCACCCCTTGTGCTGGAGGAGGGATTGGCATCACTGCTTGGGACTCTTCTGCCACCTGTGCTCTGCCCGCCCCATCCCATGCTGCCCTCTGTCTCAGCCTTCACCCCATTTCCCCCACCTTCCTCATCCCTGTGCTGTCCCCCTCTGTCTCACCTCATTTCCTTCTGCCATGCCTGATCCACCCAGGTCTCCATGTACTCTTAGAGCCCTGTTCTCACCCACACTTGTCCCTTCATCCCATCCCCTCTCCCAGCTGGTTGCCGGCATCTCTTGGCTCTGATGCCAGCCCTAGCTCACCCTCATGTCCCAAGTGACCCCATCCCTGACCTGGGTCCCATCCTTTCTGTGTCGATCCCGGACCTCATCCTCTCTCGCAGGCGCAGTAACGTGGGTGGAGGTGGGTGCCTGGACGTACCACTACAGTGACCAAGGGGACTACACGTGGGAGCAGGCCAGGAACTACTGCCAGACCTTCTTCACCGACCTGGTGGCGATCCAGAACAAGCGAGAGATTGAGTACCTCAACGAGAGCCTGCCCTTCCATGGGCGCTACTACTGGATCGGTATCCGCAAGCTGGGTGGCACCTGGACCTGGGTGGGTACCAGGAAGGCGCTGACGACGGAGGCAGAGAACTGGGCAGCCGGGGAGCCCAACAACCGCCGCTCCAACCAGGACTGCGTGGAGATCTACATCAAGCGGCAGCAGGAGTCGGGCAAGTGGAACGACGAGCCCTGCAACCGGAGGAAAAAGGCACTGTGCTACCGGGGTGAGCGGGGCAACTGCAGCACAGACCTGGATTGGGTGGGCTGGGGACCTCGGCAGGGTGGCCAGTGGCTCTTGATGACCATCCTCTGTGCGTGCAGCCTCCTGCCAGCCCTTCCCGTGCAGCCAGCGCGGCGAGTGCGTGGAGACCATCGGGAGCTACCACTGTGAGTGCTACCCCGGCTTCCACGGCCCTGAGTGCGAGGACGGTGAGCCACCCCCCCCCACCCCTCCCTCCCTGCTGGAGAGCCTGAGCCCCGGCAGCAAAGTGGGCAAGTTCATTATGCTCCTAATGGGCTGCACTGTGTCTCTCCCAGTTGTGGAGTGTGCCGAGCTCGAGCCCAAGGGAGTGCGCATGAACTGCAGCCATCCCTTCGGAGACTTCAGCTACAACTCCACCTGCACATTCCAGTGCCAGGAGGGGTTCGAGCGGCGAGGGGCAGGCACGCTGCGGTGCCTGCCTTCCCAGCAGTGGTCAGCAGAGACCCCCACCTGCACAGGTAGGGCCTGCCAGGGGCTGGTGGTCTCAGGGATGCGGTACTGATGCTTTGGGGGGCCAGCCCTGCATGCCCAACGTTGCTCAGGCAAGCAATGGGCTGGGCTTGCTGTACGCCTGCCCTTTGGGGAAGCAGCTCCTGGTGCTGCATGCAGGGAGCGGTTCCCTGATGAGGCTGCAATGGGTGCAAACCAGAGTGGCTGTGAGCTCTGCATAAGCTCCCTGCTCTCCCCAGTTGTCCCCGTGCTCTTGCTCCCTGTCCTGAATCACACCCAGGCGCCAGCATCCTGCGTGCACCGCGTGTGGGGTCAGGACGGTGTCTTGGCACCTTCACCATCACCCTGGTGGCACCATCTGCTCCTCTCCTGAGGGGAGGGTGCTTGGCATCACAGGGGTCCTCAGAGAAGAGTGAAGGGGACTGCTGTCCTGCAGCTGGAGGAAGGGTGTATGCTGGCAGGGCTGGGCCACCACGAGCAGTGCGAGGACTGGTGAGATGAGGTTAGGTATAAGCTGGGAGGGACAGAGTAGGGCAGGAAGCCGCAAAGGAAAGCAAGCTGCGGTACGTTACGCTGCAGGGGCAGGGAAAGTCTTCCCGTTGGTGGCTTGAGGGTTTGCAGCCAGGCCCCAGGTGCCCCAGAGAGGTGCTGGGCTTTCTGGGGGGGGGAGTGCTGAGAGCCCTGCTCCACCTTCCCTGTGCTGCTGCGTGGTGGATCTGCAGCCTTGCACAAGGATGGGATGAGTCGAAGACTGGAGCAGACATGGGACACAACTGGGGACCCTCTGTATCAGGAGACCCAGCAGGAGGGGTCAAGGGGTGGGCAGGGTCTCTGTATATATATAATTAAAAAAAAAAACAGCCTGCCTTGAAGTTAGTGCTGCCGATGACACCTGTGCTGGGTGCACCTGTGGTCCAACCCGGGACTTGTTTTAGGCAACTGAGACCAGCAAAGCTTTCTGCATTTAAGGGGAACGGGCACGGAGATGTGATGTGTCTGTCCTGTGGCCAGCATCCCCAGAGGTGGCAGGGTCAGGAGCTGGCTTCCAATTTTGTGGAAGTCCCCCCAGGCAAGCTGGGCTGAGCCTGCCCGCTCCAGGCTTTTCAAGTTCCCAAAGGCTTGCTTTCCCAGCTCATTGTTTTTTCCAGCTGGCTGTACGTATGATTGATTTTTCTTTTTTGCAAAGAATCAGATCAGTCAGTCAGTCGCCCTTGCTGATAAGGAAGCTGTGTTAGCAAGCATTGCCAGTTGGGTTTACTCCAAAAATGAGCAGAGGCTCCTGCTGTGGCGAGGCTGACGATGCTGCAGGCACCACGAGGGACGAAGCTGCCTGCCCTGCCCTCACGCTCCCTGCCCTGTGTCTGCCTGCAGCTGTCACATGCCCCCAGCTGGCTGCCCCCGAAAGGGGCCGGGTCGATTGCTCCCACCCGCATGGCGCGTTTGCCTTCAGCTCCACGTGTGCCTTCTCCTGCCAGGAGGGGTTTGAGCTGACGGGAGCGCGGAGGCTGCGGTGCACGGCTGGTGGGGTCTGGATGGGCCCCCCCCTGCGCTGCAAAGGTGGAGCCCAGGCTGCCTGCTGGGAGGTGCCTCAGCGTTGGGTTTTGGGGCCCCGATAGACAGCTCTGGGAATTCTGTGGGAAACCAGGCTTGCCTGTAAAATAGCTATGAAAGGAAAAGTCTACCAAGGAAAGTGTTTGGTGTCAGTCTGAAAGCAGAAGGTGCAGGGAATTGGGTCTGTCTCACCCAGGCTGGGTGCCGGTGGTGTTAGATGTCTTCCTGGCACTAACCTGTGGTGGTCCCACAGACAGCAGAGCCGCTTGTCACAGCAACTGTTGGATGCTGTCCCAACACGCAGCAAAGCACACCCCGGGCACAGCCTGGGGAGGCTGGCACGCAACCCCTATAGCTATTTCAGTCAGCCCCTCCTGGTCCCCTACAGCCTCACAGCCATCTGGGTGTCCTTCCCCCTGCCGCTGTGGCAAGGATGGAGGCAGGTCTCCTGCTCCGCTCCAGGGAGAGAGGCAAGAAGGACTGCAGCAGCTGTGGTCCTGCATCCCGGGGGCTGCAACCCAGGTAGTGCAGGGGATAAACAGGGCTCTGGCAGAGCAGCAACTGCCCCCCCAAGGAAATTACTCATATGGAAGAAAAATCATTGTACCAACTATGTTACGACTGTTTTTGAAGAGGTGAGACTTGTCTGGGTGAGAAAGGTAAATCAAAGACATATCACCATAGATTTGGTTTTATTTGACTGGGAGTCAGCCCTAATCCCTAGATTTAACCTCATCTATCCTGTCTCTGAGACCTGCTCTCCCATTGCAGCCATCACCTGCCCAGTGCTCAGCGCTCCAGACCGGGGAGAGTTGAACTGCACCCATCTCCATGGGGACTTCGCCTTTGGCTCCACGTGTGCCTTCTCCTGCCAGACGGGGTTTGCACTGATGGGGTCGGAGAGCCGCAAGCGCATCGCTCCGGGGACCTGGCATGGAGACACC